AGAGAGTAAAGAAATAACAATGCACAAAGCGCAAATTCAAACAAAACCGGGAAACGGAGTACTGCACCCAAAGGCAGATCTCCTCACCTTTGGATGCAGTACTTCGTTTCCCGGGTTTGTTTGAATTTGCGGTTTGTGCAGTGTTATTTCTTAGGAAAAATTTTTTTAGCTTTCCTTTCGATAACACTGTGAGCCGTCACAATACGCGTTTTCGCATCTGTATAAATGCAAAAATGCATAACGAGCTTATAAACTCCAATTACATAGACCCATGCATTCTGACCCAAACTTAGTTTAGACAATTCGTAATAGAATAAATAAGTGACTGAAATTTTTGTGATTGCAGCTCATCATACCAGACAAGTCGTCTTACTTGAATATAAATTTCCTAATGTAATTGATTTCAAATAATCTGTGCCATAATTTTGATGTCGTAAGTTGATGACATAACTTTGTGTGTACATGTGTGTTTATCTCTGTTTTTTCGCATGTCCATGTACTCTCCATAAACGTAAAATCAGCTTCGCGTGAACGGATAACGAACGCCCATATTGATAATGGGTACTCGCCAGCAGACCTCGGGAGCCAGATAAAGTGAGGACTGAAATCTTGGTTTTCTGAGCGTCGAAAAGCTCAAGAAATTTAAAATCGACTTTCACTGCCTCCCAGACCTCACGTGTTGACGCCCTTTTAACTTGAGAACACTTTGCGTTTTTTTGCCGCTACCTCATACCGATGCCTACAAAAGTTCAAGTAGTGCAGAAATATGATTGCGCCTGTTTCTAAATGCACTGCAGTAATTATCATAACGAACAAATATTGATGCGATTCTATGTTTCAGTAAAAATGCAAATTTTTGCCAGTTTTATAAAAGGCGAAGATTCGTCTACCAAAATCTATTTCTAATTTTCTATAGTTTGAGTCGGCTGTTACCAATTAAATAAACCTACATATATATGCTCAAAAGACAATGCCCCCAAAAAAAGTTCTTGTCCATATCGTTTCCAGGAAGTAACAACAAATGTAGAAGTTGAAAAAGGCAGCAACGAGTTGGAGCTTGCTGCTTAAGTGA